TTTCACTAACGTTTGCTATCACTATTTTTTTAATTTTAGCCATTCTGATGGACATGTAGAGACATGTTATTGTGGTTTGGATTTGCATTTACCTAATATCTAATGATATTAAACATCTCTTCATGTGCTTATTGTATAAAGCTGGTGTTAATGCTTCTGTAAATGGTAAAATTCTTCAGTGGAATCATCTGGGCCTGGAGGGGTTATTTTTTTTCCCCTAAGAGTTTTTTTAAATACATACTCAATTTCTTTAATGGTTATAGACTAGTCAGGTTGTCTGTTTCATTTAGTTGAGTTCAGTGGTTTGTAGTTTTTGAGGAATTGTTTTTCTTCTAGCTTGTTGAATTTATGACCATAAAATTTTTTATAGCATTCATTTATCCTTTTAATAGCAGTAGGATCTGTAGTGATATCCCTTACTTCGTTCCTACTATTGGTAATTTGTGTATTTTCTTTTATCTTTGTCATTGCTAGTTTAGCAACAAATCAGCTTTTTTTCATTGATTTTTCTTTATTATTTTTCTGTGTTCAACTTTATTGATTGTGCTTTTTTATTATTTCCTTTCCTCTGCTTGCTTTTTTTTTGCTGCTTTTTCTGATTTCTTAGAGGGAGGACTTCAGATGATTGGTTTGAGACCTTTAGCTTTTTTCTAATATAAGCATTTAGTGTTATAAATTTTCCTAAGCCCTGCTTAGCTGCATCCTACATATTTTCAAATGTTGTGTTTTCATTTGTGTTACATTATTATTTATTTCTCCTTATATTTTTTTTCACAATTTTTTGGGATTTCAGATTTTGTTTGACTCATGAGCTGTTTAGATGTATGTTGTTCAATTTCTAAGTGTTTGGAATTTTTTTTTATCGTCCTCCTGAAATGTGTTGCTAGTTTGATTCCATTACTGTTAGAGAACATACTCAGTATAATACCGTTATACTCCGTATATAGCCGTGTAATTGCAGTTCTTTTAAGTTTGTTGAGGTTTGTTTTATGGCCCAGGATTTGGTCTATCTTGGTGAATGTTCTATAGGAATCAGGAAAAAAAAGTGTGTGTATTGTGCTGTTCTAAGTGGAGTTTTCTGTATATGTCATTTAGATCCTGTTCGTGGGCCATTTTGTTCTTTCATATTCTTGCCAATTTTCTCTCTAGGAGTTCTACCAGTTGAATAATCCTCAACATCCCACATTTGTGCATTTGTCTGTTTCTCTTTTCAGCTTGATTAATTTGACTTCGTGTATTTTTCAGCTCTGCTGTTTTGGTGCTGTTTGGTGCTTTGGCAGATTGATCTTTTTGTCCTTATGCATTGTCCCTGTTTTCACTAGTAACTTTCTTTGCTCTGACATATACTTGGACTAATATTAATATAGCCAGTTTTGCTTTTTTCTTTAATAATTGCCTGGTTTATCTTTTATCATCCTTTCACTCTCAACCTAGCTATGTCATCATATTTAAAGTGGTTTTTTTTTTTTTTTGTGGCGAGCATATTGTTTTTTCAATCTACCTTGCCAATCTTATGATTTTAAATGGTATATTTACGCCATTATATTGAGGGTAATTATTTATATTTTTTATTTAACTTTTATCTTTTTATCTCCTATTTCTAGTTCCACTGTTTCTCTTATTTAGACATTTTCTTAGGATTCTGTATTTGTTTATGTATTTGTTTTGTCTGTGTTTTTTAGTATATTGCTTTGTGTAGCTTCCTGGTAGTTGCTCTGGGTATTACATTGTACATAGTAACTTCTCACAGTCTACTGATAAAGAGGTTTACTAGTTTGAATGACATACAGAAATTTTACTTACATTTAAGCTTCTTTTCCTACTCCACTTTTAAGATATGATTGTCTTAGATATTTCCTCTACATACGTTAAGCAGCATATCAGATTGTGTTGCAGTTTTCCTTTAACCATGAAAGTGATTTATGAAACTCATGAGAAATAAAATAGTATTTATATTCACCCCTATTTTAACCTATTCTGATCTTCCTCTTTCCTTTTTGTAGTTCCAAGCCGCCTTCTGCTATCTTTTTTTCTCTTCCTTTTGAACTTTCTAGCCACCAGTCTTTTAGGTTAGGTCTGCTGGTAACAGGTGCTCTTAGTTTTCCTTAGTCTGAGAATGTCATATCTCCCTTCCCATTCTGAAGGATATTTTCACTGAGTATAGAATTCTGGGTTGACAGTTCCTTTCTTTCAGCACTTGAAAGATATGCCACTTTCTTCTGATCTCCATGGTTTCTGATGTTTCTCTCTGTTGTTCACATTTCATAAATGATATTGGTTCTTGATTCTGTCTTTCGTCTTTTCCACTGTACTATTGAGCCCATTTGGCAAGTTTTGTATTTCAGCTATTTTTCCATTCCAAAATTTGTATTTTGCTCTTTATATCCTTTTTTTTTTTTTTTTTCTGAGACTCAATTTTTTGTTTCAAGCATGTTTGTAATTGTTGAAACATTTTTTTGATGACTCTGTTAAAATTCTTGTCAGGTAATTCTAACATCTGATTCATCTCAGTCTTATTCAAGCTGTAATTTTCCTGGTTCTTGGTATAAGTGATTTTTTTAATTGTATCATTGTGTCTTGGACATTTTGAGTATTGTGTTATGAGACTCTGCGTCTGATTTAAATCTTCCATTTTAGTATACCTCCTCTGACACCATGGCAGCCAAGTAGGGGTGGAAAGCTAGGTTCCGTATTTGGTCTCTGCTGATAGCCTGAGAGGGAAGTGCTTCACTACAGCTCCCACCTGGCATCCCCTGACACCATGAAGGGAGACCCTGTTCTCATTGGGCAGAAAATGAAAGCTCTGGCTCCTCACTCATGCTTCCGTGACACCACCCTAGCAGGAATCAGTGGTGGTGTCTCATTACAGCCAGGCAAGAGTGGAAGTCGAGCATCCTCATTCACCCTTTGGTGACTGAGGTAGGGACGGCGCCGCAGACTGTTCTTTGGTGACTGAGGTAGGGACGGGGCCACAGACCTTCCTTTGGTGACTGAGGTAGGGACGGCGCCACAGACCGTCCTTTGGTGACTGAGGTAGGGACGCCGCCACAGACTGTCCTTTGGTGACTGAGGTAGGGACGGCGCCACAGACCGTCCTTTGGTGACTGAGGTAGGGACGGCGCCACAGACCGTCCTTTGGTGACTGAGGTAGGGACGGCGCCACAGACCGTCCTTTGGTGACTGAGGTAGGGACGGCGCCACAGACCGTCCTTTGGTGACTGAGGTAGGGACGGCGCCGCAGACTGTTCTTTGGTGACTGAGGTAGGGACGGCGCCACAGACCGTCCTTTGGTGACTGAGGTAGGGACGGCGCCACAGACTGTTCCTTTGGGGACTGAGGTAGGGACGGCGCCACAGACCGTCCTTTGGTGACTGAGGTAGGGACGGCGCCGCAGACCGTTCCTTGGTGACTGAGGTAGGGACGCCGCCGCAGACCGTTCTTTGGTGACTGAGGTAGGGACGGCGCCACAGACCGTTCTTTGGTGACTGAGGTAGAGACGCCGCCGCAGACTGTTCTTTGGTGACTGAGGTAGGGACGCCGCCGCAGACTGTTCTTTGGTGACTGAGGTAGGGACGCCGCCGCAGACTGTTCCTTTGGTGACTGAGGTAGGGACGGCGCCGCAGACTGTTCTTTGGTGACTGAGGTAGGGACGGCGCTGCAGACTGTCCTTTGGTGACTGAGGTAGGGACGGCGCCACAGACTGTCCTTTGGTGACTGAGGTAGGGACGGCGCCGCAGACTGTTCCTTGGTGACTGAGGTAGGGACGGGGCCACAGACTGTTCCTTTGGTGACTGAGGTAGGGACGGCGCCGCAGACTGTTCTTTGGTGACTGAGGTAGGGACGGCGCCACAGACCGTCCTTTGGTGACTGAGGTAGGGACGGCGCCACAGACCGTCCTTTGGTGACTGAGGTAGGGACGGCGCCGCAGACCGTCCTTTGGTGACTGAGGTAGGACGGCGCCACAGACCGTCCTTTGGTGACTGAGGTAGGGACGGCGCCACAGACCGTCCTTTGGTGACTGAGGTAGGGACGGCGCCACAGACCGTTCCTTGGTGACTGAGGTAGGGACGGCGCCACAGACTGTTCCTTGGTGACTGAGGTAGGGACGGCGCCGCAGACTGTTCCTTGGTGACTGAGGTAGGGACGGCGCCGCAGACTGTCCTTTGGTGACTGAGGTAGGGACGGGGCCACAGACTGTTCCTTGGTGACTGAGGTAGGGACGGCGCCGCAGACTGTTCTTTGGTGACTGAGGTAGGGACGGCGCCACAGACTGCTCCTTGGTAGTTGGCGAGAGTAGAGCGGTTATTGTCTCACATTTTTCTGCCTTTCAAGGCTATACCTTTCCTGGTTCTTTGGCTAAAGGGAAAAGGCTCTTCTTGGGATTTTCTTTTCTTTTCTTTTTTTTTTTTTAGTCTGTGACTTTTGGCATTTCCAACAGCTTGGGATATGTTAAGAATCCAGCCTGTGGTATCTTAAGCAAAAAGGAAAGCTAAGCGTTCACTGTCATGCCGTTCCTTAGGCCTTGTAGTCCCTAGCCTGCCTATCTTCTCTGTACCTTTCAGAGTTTTGTTTATTTTCTGTGTAATATCCAGAGTTTTAGCTGCACTTAGTGGAAGAAGAAGATGTGCATCTATTCCTGAATTGAGTTTTTAAATGTATATATTACTTTATTTAGCTAGAATGTACTAACAGTTTTTAAAAATTATGTTAGGAAAATCTTGCAGAAACAGTATTTGAGTATCAAAAAAAAGTAAAAACCAGCACAACCTATTTACATGGGCTCTAATGGCCAGTTTTTAAGGGATTTTCTAGAGTGGTAGAAATAAAATTGTGCCTTAAATATTTTATTTGTGGCATATTTGTATTTTAATCACCACCTTACTTTGATGAAATTAATGAAATATTGTACTGTTTTGGCTATAGAAACCTGGCACAGTTGAGTTATAGCACAATTAGTTTTTGCTGTTCTAATGTGCTTTTTTTTTTTCTCTTTCCTCCAGGGCTGGTGGACTAGGCCTCAATTTTGTCGGTGCCAATGTTGTTGTATTATTTGATCCTACTTGGAATCCAGCCAATGATCTTCAAGCCATTGACAGGTATAATACAAAATTTAAAGTGATCTGCAAACACTTTTAATCTAAAAATACTCTTGAACTTTTAAGATTGCTTATACTATGACTATGATTAGAAGAAAGGGGGAAACTTGTAAAAATGTACATTTAAGATAATCCTGACCTTCTCAAGCCAAGTAACAGTCCAAAAATAGCCATTTATTTTTCATCCATCTCAGAATCCTGTTAATATGACAGAAATGACTTAAAAAGAAAGAATAAATTCCTAATACTGCTGGAAAATAGGATAGTTCTATACTAGTAGATCCAAAGTTTTGAGAAACTCCTGGAAGATAAAAAGCAAGTAGAATCTGATCAGGATATCAGCAGAGAAATACTACAAAGTCTGCAGGAAAGAGTACAGAAATTTTAAGCATGGGGTTGCAACTACAGTATGTGGGAGTAGACAGAGTGCATCTTCTGGGAAATTGATAATGTCCTGACTCTAATACAAATTCCCCTCCCACACCCTGCTTTACAGAGAGTTTGGCTGTAACAGGTACTCTTTGATTAAAGCTGAAAGAATAATTTTACACATTTTATAAATAAATGGGGAATCTGACTGTAGAAAGCTTCCTAGAATGGGTGTTGGAACCAGATCATAAAGCCAGAGCGAAGCCTGTAGTACTTCCAGATCTCCCCAGGACATGAAAAGGGGAAATACACGTGTTACCTGTGTGGAGACACAGACCGGCTTTCCAGTGATTCACCTAGTCATCATTTTAATTATGAATGGGAAATGAAGAATTATGAAACATTTTAATAAAGCTAGCCTAGCAAGAAAGCAAAGGACAAAAGTGAAAACAGACATTGAAGAGAATAAAATAAGAATAGGATGCCAAGGAAAAAAGTACATAAAAAACCAAATTAGTTCTTAGAAGTTAAAACTCTTGCCAAAATAAAGTAACTCAGTAGAAGGTCTGAAAAAAATGGAGACGGGCTAAAGTTAGCAATTGATATGGAAGATAAAAGGAATGAATATTTTTAAACATAAAGTCAGGTAACAAATAGTGTGAAATATGAGTAAAGAGAATTGAGGAAAAATCCCAGAAATCATCATCTGTCTATTCCAGAAATAATGAACAGAGAGGCTGGAGGACAGGGGAGATCATTGATGACACGATTGAAGAAAAATGTTATTAATTTTGAAGGGGCATTTAGTATGAAGTAGAAATAATGACTGAGAGAGAGAAAACATACATGTTAGTAATATTTCTAAGTTTCAAAGATAGAAGAGCTAAAAGGTTCCAGAGTGAGAAACAGGGAGAGGATGATTTATAAAAACTGCAACAAAAAGGAAAAGACACATTATCAACAAAGAAATGAGAATCAGACTCAATTCAGCAGATCAGACTTTGAAGAACATACATTTCATCAGCATTATAGGATTCTAGATGACAACAGAGTTGTCAAAATGAAAAAATTTATATGGCTATATGTGAAAGAAAATTATTTTGACTTGTATTTACAATTTGTGGCTAAAAGTTTAAGTCTGAAAAATCACTGGGAGCGTGTCTGAGAGGCTTCATGCAGTTATAAAGAAAGAATTCCCCAAAAATGGCCCGGGCACGGTGGCTCAAAGCCTGTAATCCCGGGCACTTTTAGGAGGCCGAAGACGGGCGATCACGAGTCAGGAGAATCAGACCATCCCTTGACTAAACAACAGGTGAAACCCGGTCTCTACTAAAAAAATACAAAAAAAATAGCCAGCAAGGTGGTGGCCTGTCGTCCCAGCTACTTCAGGCGGCTAGGGCAGGAGAATGGCATAAACCCGAAGGCCGAGCTTGCGTGAGTCGAGATCCAGCCCACTGCATCCAAGCCTGGGCGACACAAGACTCCGTCTCAAAAAAAGAAGATTGCCCAAAAATATGAGGGAATGGTAAATGAAAAATTAGTCAACAATTCAGAACTAAAATGTTATGTAATTTGATAAATGTCAGATACAGGTAGAGGAGGGGGTGAAAATTGGTCTTAGAATTTGTCCCTCAGGAAAGGACCCAGGATACCTGGTCAGTTCTCAAATTGTGATGCCAAAAAATGTTTTTTAAATGCTAGCAAAAAATTTAGGGGCAACAACTAAAAGAGTGAGTTACAATAATTATCTGGTACAATTTTTCAAAAACACAAATACTCAGACTCCATCCTGCAGGCATTCTGATTATGTAGATGTAGAATGGGAAGTCAACACTCCTATATTTTAAAAAACACCCAGGTTGTGGATCAAAGGACACTTACCAACAGAGAAAGAAAGCAGTCTACCGAATGGGGAAAATATCTGCAAATCACATATCTGATAAAGTGTTAATATCTAGAATATAAAAAGAACTCCTGGCCGGCGCGCGGTGGCTCAAGCCTGTAAGCACATTTGGGAGGCCGAGACGGGCGGATCACGAGGTCAGGAGATCGAGAGACCATCCCCGGGCTAACAGGGTGAAACCCCGTCTCTACTAAAAATACAAAAAGCTAGCCGGGCGAGGTGGCGGCGCCTGTAGTCCAGCTACTCGGGAGGCTGAGGCAGGAGAATGGCGGGAACCCGGGAGGCGGAGCTTGCAGGTGAGCTGAGATCCCGCCACTGCACTCCAGCCTGGGTGACAGAGCGAGACTCCAGTCTCAAAAAAAAAAAAAAAGAACTCAATAAAACTCAACAACAACAAAAAACACAACTCAATCTAACAATGAATAGGACATTTCTCCAAAAAAGGTATACAAGATATGTAAGTGGCCATTAAGCACATGAAAAGATGCTCAGCATCACTAATCATTAGGGAAATGCATATCAGAACTATAATGAGATACAACTTCACACACTTTGAGATGACTATTGTAAAAATAAAAGCAACAACAGAAAACAACAAGTCCTAGTTGAGGATATGGAGAAATTAGAACCCCTGTGCATTGTGAATGGAAATATCAAGTGGCACAGCTGCTGTGGAAAACAGCATGGTGGTTCCTCAGAAAATTAAACATAAAATTACCACAGGATCCAGCAATTACACTTCCACTCTGGGTATATACCAAAAGGAATTGAAAGCAGAGACTTGAAGAGATATTTGTACATTCATGTTCATAGCACCTATATTCACAATAGCTAAAACGTGGAAGCAACTCAGGTGTCCATCGATGGATGAATGGATAAACAAAATATGATATACACATAAAATGGAATACTATTCAGCCTTAAAAAGAAATGAAATTCTGATCATTGCTACAACATAGACAAACCTTGAAGATGTTATGCTACATGAAATAAGCCAGCTCTGAAAGGACAAATATTGTATGATTCTACTTTTGCGAAATACCTGGAATAGTCAAATCCATAGAGATAGAAAGTGGAACAGTGCTTATTAGGGGATAAGAATAGGGAGGAATGGGGAAGTATTGTGTAATGGGTATGGAATTTCAGTTTAGGATAATAAAAAAGTTGTAGCAATGGATAGTGGCGATGGCTAGAAAACCAAATTTAATACCGTTGAACTGTATTCTTAAAAATAGCTAAAATGGTAAATCATGTGATGTGTTTTTTGCCACAATTAATTTTAAAAACCACCCAAGGTGATTATGATACAATTGGTTCTCAACTCCACTTTGAAAAACACTGAATATTAGGTGTAAAGCTTGCACAAGAAACAAGATTACCAAGACAATGTAATTATTTTAGTACCTGATAGGAAATACATCGTTGTGTTGGGAAGATGGGGGAAACTCAGAAAGCATGACCAATGAAGTGTCAGAAGTAAATCCAAACAGAAATGTTAATGTGTTGAGACTCTTTTTAGAAAGAAGGAAGAAAGTGGAGCTGGCAGAAAGGAAAAATTAGACTCAGGTTTATGCTTATTATGAAACATGTATGTAAATATAAAAGACACAGAAAGTTGAAAATAAGATTAAAAATTCAAAGCAGGGAGATGATAACAATCCTGGCTAACACGGTGAAACCCCATCTCTACTAAAAATACAAAAAATTAGCCGGCGTGGTGGCACATGCCTGTAATCCCAGCTACTCGGGAGACTGAGGCAGGAGAATGGCGTGAACCCGGGAGGCGGAGCTTGCAGTGACCCGAGATCGCGCCACTGCACTCCAGCCTGGGCGACAGAGTGAGACTCCATCTCAAAAAGAATAATAAATAATAATAAATCCACTAGGCTAAATAAGTATATAAATTACTTAAATAAAAGCTATCTACCATAATTTAATAACTGTATACAGACACATCTCATTTTACTGCGCTTCACTTTATTGGGCTTCGCAGATAATTGCCTTATTTACAAATGGAAGGTTTGTAGAGATCCTGAGTCAAGCAAGTCTTCCAGCACCATTTTTCCAATGGCATATGCTCACTTGTGTCTCTATGCCACTTGTATCTCTGTGAGAATGTAAGTTTTTCATTATCACATCTGTGATGGTGATCTGTGATTACTGATCTTTGAAGTTGCTATTGTATTTGTTTTGGAGTACCATGAACCATGCCCCCATAAGACGATGAACTTAATTGGTAGATGTTGTGTGTGTTCTGACTGCTCTGCTTACTGGCCATTCCTCTGTCTCATCCCCTCCCTTAGGCCTCCCTCTTCCCTAAGACACAGTATTTAAATTAGGCCAATTAATAACTCTGCAATGGCCTTTAAGTGGTCAAGTGAAAGGAAGAGTTGCATGTCTGTCACTTTACATCAAAAGCTAAAAATGATTAAGTTTAGTGAGGAGGACATGCTGAAAGCCAAGATGGACCAAAAGCTAGGCTTCTTGTACCTAACAGTTGGCCAAGTTGTGAATGCAAAGAAAAAGTTCTTGAAGGAAATTAAAAGTGCTACTCCAGTGAATACATGAATGACAAGAGCACCAAACAGCCTCATTGCTGATACAAAGAAAGTTACAGTGGTCTGGATCAAAGATCAAACCAACCACAGCATTCCATTAAACCACAGCCTAATCCAGAGCAAGACTCTAAAACACCTCAGTTCTTTGAAGGCTGAGAGACGCAAGGAAG